TGCTGAAAATGATATTGTTGATATACAAATTGGAATTGACGGTTCATGGCAGAAACGTGGTCATTCATCTCTAAATGGTGTATGCACTGCTGTTGCAAAAGCTAACCGTAAAGTTGTCGATTACCAAGTATTTTCAAAGTTTTGTCGTGGCTGTGCTTTGTGGCAAAGTAAGAGAAATAAGAGCGGTTATGGAAAGTTTTTGAAGATACATGTTTGCGACCTTAACCACTTTAAATCATCAGGTGCCATGGAATCAGCAGGTGCTTTATCATTTTTTACGGAATCATTGGCAAAGTACAATGTTCGCTATTCTCATTATATAGGAGATGGAGATACTGAATCTTATACAAATGTTGTAAAGGCAAAGCCATATGGAGAAGATCTTGTCCCAGTAAAAATAGAGTGCGTCGGTCATGTCCAAAAACGCCTAGGCACCAGGTTACGTCAAATGCGATGTGACTTAAAGGGTAAAAAGTTAGAAGATGGGAAAATTATATCAGGGAAAGGAAGGTTGACAGATAAGATCATTAATAAAATGCAAAATTTTTATGGCATGAGCATTAGGCAAAATACCTTAGAAGCATGGAGTGGAGACCGTACTATAACCTTGTACAATATGAAAAAATCTGTTTTGGCTGTATTGTGGCATTGCTCGAATATAAGCAACAGCGAAGAGAGACATCAATTTTGTCCACGTACAAAGGAAAGCTGGTGCAAGTATTGGCAGAATGACAAAAATTATAAACCATCAATTAATTTGCCTCTTGCTATTAAAAGTATTCTTAAAGACACATTCTTGGCACTACGGTCAGATGATTTGTTATCAAGATGCCTGGATGGCGCAACACAAAATCCAAATGAGGCTTTCAACCAGATAATCTGGAAAAAGTGTCCAAAAAATATTTTTGTTACTAAAAAGGTACTAGATCTTGGTGTTGCTTCAGCTGTAATAAATTACAATGATGGTTTAAGAGGTTTCACAAGAATTTTTGATTATTTGCAGCTCTTGCCTGGAAGTTTTATGATCCAAGGATCGTGGAAGAAGGATGTATCAAGAGTAAAGAACACGATTAAAAATTCAACTCCAAAGCAAAAAAGGGCTAGAAGGAAAAGGAGATGTATCAGGAAGGGTTATATTGATAAGGAGAAAGAAAAAGAGGGAGTAGACTCTTATATTACAGGAAATTTTTAATTAATAAATTGTTTTTAAACTTTGAAGCTTGATTTCTCAATTGTTTGTTTTTGCCTGACTGCAATAAGCGAATCATTCATATCTTTTTAACCAGATATGCAATTGAGTTCAAATTTTCAGGGTTGTTTCTTTATAGATAGAACTGCAATAGCTTACTAGAACTAATCTTAAGCTTGTTTCCATTTGAATATATTCATATATTACCTTTTTTTTTTGTATCAATAATTTCCGTTAAAATTGAAAAAGCTGCCATTTTAAAAATAATAATTATTTTTAGTTTTTCTAGTAAGCTTTTGTTTAATACACTATAATCTATCAGTGTTGTAAGTTTTGGCTTATAATGTCATAAAGAGGCTGAGAAAATGTTGTTTTCTTTTTTCATTGATTTTTTTGCATTTTATGCTGATTCAGCAAAAAAAAAAAAAGGAAATTATTTTTTTTTTATCATTTTTAATTATATTAATAAGTATGTTTCATTTAAACTAACTTTGGTATATGATTAAGTTGGCAATCAAAAAATAATTTTTTTACCTGATAACCACCTTAATTTAACTGCTTTGACATTTCGACGAAAATCAAATACAGCTTAAGAGCCGAGGTAATTAAAATTGTAGTCGAAATAGACTTTTTTTACCTAAAGTCTCTCGACTACACTATAAGGATATATACATATTTTTATATCTATATATGTATATCTATATATATATATATATATATATATATATATATATATATATATATATATATATGTATATATATATATATATATATATATACCCTTGCATACAAAAATGAGGATAGTTAATCATGGAGAGCCTATATACTCAGAGAGGCTCTGAAAAAAAAATGATTCTAAACTGAAAAAAAAATGATTCTATACTCACCACTGCTTAATTTAACTGAATTTTTGATAAATGGTTTACACTTACGACATCGCAAAACCCTACTATGACTTTTAGTATAAAAAATTACTTAATTTACAATGAAACAATGGTTTTTTCAATAAAATTAAAGAAGTACATTGTGGATTGTATGTATTGAGCCAAAGTAGAAAGCTAATGTGAAAACTTATTTCATCTGGTGTTATTTTGTCAACAACGAAATATTCTTTTTGAAAATAAAAACTTTTAGTATGAAACTGCAATTAACCCAAAACTACTAAAAAATTATATTTATCTGATACGTTCACAAAACAAGTAGTTCATACAGCTTTTCAATGCAAAAATGACTTAAAACTTATTTTTGTTGCTCAACTCTTAAAAACAATTATCAAATTACATTGTAAAAGTCCAGTTACGATACCCGATAATGACCGTCAATTGTTATTGTGTTTTCTTGACTTAAGCCCGTTCTCCATTCAGAACTTTTTGCGCTTTGGAGAAGCGGAAAAGTTCTTTGAGCATGCGCAAACAGTTTTTTAAAACCCGTTCTCCAATCAGAATTTTTTGCGCATGCTCAAAGAACTCTTCCGTTCCTCCTAAGCGCAAATAGTTCTGAATGGAGAACAAGCTTTAGTTAATAGTAAGATGGACAATCCAAAAAAAAAGAGCACAATGTTTTACTCCAAGGTATAGATAATGTCAAGTTTAATCTTAAGTAATACAGAGCCAAACTGTTTTCTTATAATGAGTAATAATGTAATTTTTTTAATATATACGAGTTGTAGAGTTAAAGAAATTCATAGAATTTTTCCTAATTTATTTTAAATCTAAATAATTTTAAAAATAGAGTAAATGCTGATTATACAATGTTTGTTACATACAAACAGCCCACAGTGGGACAAATTCCCTATTTTTTTGCCAAAATTATTTTTTTTAATTAGATATTACTTTAAATAACATATCTGCAGCTTCTAAATATATTTTTGAGTAATAAAAAAAAAACTTTAATTGTATTTTTATTTAGAATACAATGAAAAAATTTTTTCTTTCAACCAAAAATATATTATTATAAATTACCTTTTGAACTATTTTTAACTAGACTTATATTCCTTGTTAAATTTTTAAATTTCATTTTAAAATATTTTAGCGTTCAAAAAATATGAAATTATACTATGAAACTTAAAATTTTTAAGTTTCTTAGTATAATTTCTCAGCGTTTAAAAATAAAGAACATATAATATTTGCAACCCCCTCAAAATGAGGGGGTTTAAACTTTAAATATTCAAATTTTTTGAACGCAATAATATTTGACTATGTAAATTAAAAATTTATTGAGGAATATAAGTGTAGTTAAACATAGTTCAAAAAATATTTCATCAGTTTGTTGCTCTCACGTTTGGAGCATTGAAGGTATAGGGAGGGGGTGCGAGAAGCTGAAATTTTAGGGTTTTTTCACTCCCAGCCTCTAATCACCGCAATTTTTTCCAAAGCATCTTTATTTGACATAAGCATAAACATATAAGTGTTTGGAGTTTGCTCCATGCCCGGAAGGTAGATATCTCGAAGACCAAATGCTGGCACTACCCCTGCTGTTATCTATAAGTTATTTTTTAGACAACGTGGTACTTTGTTGAGGCTCAAGCCAATTTTAAAATATCATTTTTGTACTTAATAAAGATTTTAAAGTATTTTCAGACTGGAGGATTTAGGAGGTTTTTTTAAATAACTGAAGAAAGTAAAACTTTGCACTCAAAAAAATACAAAAATACATTAACTTTGAAGTTAAATAAAGTTTCTTACTTACAAGCCAAAAACTTGCAGCGAAGTTCTGTTGTTTAAAAAATGATAAATCTGACAATATTCAAAAAAAAAAATAGCGCATTTATTTTTAAAACAATTTACAATTCATGTGTAGCAAATTATATTTTTAAATAATTTTTGTTTTAAAATTTCCAATCGGAAAAAATTTTTTATCTTCAACAAGTCGTATAAACTTTAATTTAAAAGCTCATGACTAACAAATATCATTTTATTAAAGCTTTTTAAGTATGGAAAACGACTAATACAATTAAACCTACATTCAACACATTTTTTTTTTTTTAATTTTCGCACACTTTGACCTACTGTGCATCCCAATGAGGGAATTTGATTTTATGCTAATGAAACAAACTTTGCATTTTTTTTTTTTTAATATAATTAATATTTAGATCATTTTAGCCATAATTTTTTACATAAAAGAATGGTGATTTTATACTTTAAAGAAAAGTCAATTGATGAACAAGTTGATGATTAAATTTAAAATTTAGCTATTATCCTAATTCTCATTGATTTTAATTGAAGCTTGAAAACAGGTTTTAAAAATTCACACCTGTAAAATTTAGCATTTAGAAAAAAAAAAAAAAAGTCAAAAAATTATTTTACTTCATGAACTTGGCAGCAAGATATGGCAATACATGCATTGGCTTTGAAAGAATTTAAATAAAACTAATTTATAATAAATTTGTAAAACATTTTTAAGTTCTAAACTTTTGGTAAGTAACTTATAAATTACAAAAAATTTTTGACTGTTTTTTTTTACTGAATTTATTTATTTGCCAAATAAGTTTTTGTTTAATAAATAATTTTAATTAAAAAACTTCAAAAAAAATTGTCAAAACAAATTTTGTTTAAAATATTGTGTTTTACAATAACTGCTGTTATTACAATAAACGTAATAAAAATTACAATAATTAAATAAATTTAAGTAAAAACAATTATTGTTTTTACTTTAATTCATTTAAGTCAAGCGCTAATTTGGAAAAAACATAGCCGCCAATTTCTGTATACCGCCTCTCTGAGTATATAGGCTCTCTAGTTAATCATTTACAGTATTTTGATAAAATAATTATTACGCAAAGAAGGAACATTTAAAAATATATATAAAAAACCTGTTTTTAAGTAATGCAGAAAGCGGCAAGAGTGGAGTCACAGAAGCAAATATAAGGATGCATCCAATAAATGTCTACAATAAAAAATATATATTTTTTTTGTAAAACTTACTGATTAGTACTTTGTTGTAATTACTTCATCATGCTTCACGAGTTGAATTAAACTATTGCAAAATACAATATCAAGAAAAATATCTGGTCCTCAAAAAACTTGAAGTTTTCTACTTTGCAGTCAATGAAATTCCAAAAGCTTTGCATTTTTTAAAACACTTTTATATGCTAGTTATATAAATCAGTCTATTTAGTTTAATGCATAAGGATTTCATTAGCGGGTACTTTCTATTTAAAATAAAGTCAAATGATTTGCTCTCTTACAACATTCTTGATACAAATGAAATGATATGAGGAATTTTGATGCTAAAGCCGTTTTTTTTTTGTATTTTTTAATCTAAAAATTTGATAAGTCATATAATTGCTGGTCTAAATTATAAAAAACAAATAAAAAAGTAAGGGGTCATTGGCGAAAAATTTTGAAAAAAATAGTTTGAAAAGTTTGCTGGTTGCAGATATGCCTATTTCTTATTTTAAGCCTACACACACACACACACACACACACACACACATATATATATATATATATATATATATATATATATATATATATATATATATAATATATATATATATATATATATATATATATATATATATATATATATATATATATATATACATATATATATATATATATATATATATATATATATATATATATATATATATATATATATATATATATATATATATATATATATATATATATATACATATATATAATATATATATATATATATATATATATATATATATATATATATATATATATATATATATATATATATATATATATATATATATATATATATACAGTGTGCAAAAAAAATAATCGTACACTTAAAAAAAAAAAAATTTAAAGATTGCATCAAAAAAATGAGTTTTCAGTAAAAATATTTTAAATTTTTTTTCAGATATCTTATCCAGTATTGTTTTAAGAATTTATTTATGTATTGGTGAATTAATTGCTTTTCATACCTGTTGAATTTTATACATTTGATCTAATGATGCATATAATTGACTGCAAAAAATATAATCGTACGCTGACAAAATAGGTCGTTATTTTAGCATAAATTGAGCAAATTGAACAACTAAAAGTAGTAAAATTAAAAATAGTAATTTTTTAAACAAACTTTTGTTCTAGAAATAAAGTATAGTGTTTTAGCAATATGGCGTCAAGAAAACAACATTTTCTTTTCCATCAGCGAAGCCTCGTAGTTGATTTGAAAAACCAAAGAAAAAACTACTGCCAGATCCAAAAAGAAACAAGATTTCATTTTACGACAATGTCCTCAATTGTTAAGAAGCATTATCTGATTAGAATCGTTGCTAGTGTGGCTGGAAGAGGACGAAAACGCATGACCACTAATGCAATTGATCGCAATATCATCATTAATGTGAAGAAAAATGGATTTGTTTCGGCAGCTAAATTAGCTTCAAAAGTTCTAGAAGATCACAATATCATAGTAACCCCTCAAACAGTTAGAAACTATATATGAGAACAAGGATATAGGTAGAGTAGTTCGAAAAAACCTTTTTTAACTGCAAAACAAATAAAACGTCGATTAGATTTTGCAAAGAAGTACAAAAAAATGCCAATAACATATAGGAAAAAAATTTTGTGGTCAGATAAGTCAAAATACAACCTTGTCTCATCGGATAGAGTTCAAAAAGTGTGGCGAAAAAAAAAAAAAGGTTTTATATTTTTATAAGCTTCTTCTTGTTTTTTGAAAAAAAAAAAAAAGCTAATAAAGTTGATTGCGAGGTAGTGTAAAGCATGGAGGAGAAAATGTAGTGGTTTGGAGCAGAATGAGTTGGAAAGGAGTAGGAAAGTTGAAATTTATTGATGAAAAAACGGATGCTTAAATGTATTGTAAAATTCTAAAAGCCAACTTGCGCCCATCTACCAAAAATTAAAGAACGATTTTATACTGCAGCAGGATAGCGATCCAAAACATACCGCTAAAAAAACAAAGGTGTACTTTTACAAAAAAAAATGTCAGTATTTTGAAATATTTTGAACAGAAAAATTGGTGAATAAGCATTTAGACAAAAAGATAACTTCAAAGTAGAGGTGTACCGGATATTTTTGCCGGATATGCCGGATATTGAGTTTTTTTAAAGTTCTATAAGTGTTTTTGAAGAAAAAACAAGTCTTTCCATTCTACATTAAACAGTGTTCAAAATTTAAAAAAAAAAAATTAAGAAAAACTGGTATAACGCAGGTAAATGCGTTAATAATGTATTAGGAAAAATAGTTTTTATAGACAAATTTTTGTTTTTTTTTAATTACTATTTTCTTTACTTCTTTAGTACATATCCTATGTCATACAGTTTTCTTCTTGATTTTTTAAAGTAAGATCTTGAATTCTTTTTACTGAAGACT